GTGCTTTCATTCGCTTGTTGCTTCAGGGTCGCGTGTTAGTTCTGTTGGAGCGGGGTGCGGGCTCGCTGTTACTCGGCGAGAGAGCTGGCAGATGTCCCAAGTGAGAGAACCTCTTCCTCCGGGGCCTGGAGGGCCAGAGCAAGCTCCGACTGAAAACAGCTCTTTGATCTCCCTCCCTCGAGGTAAGTTGCTTTAAAGTTTCTCCGTAATTTGTTGCGCCTTTTATTTGAGTGATACGTTTACTCATTTGTTTCGTGGGTTGTAGCCCCTCTTTTCTTTCCCATCCCCCGACCTCCCCTACTTTGGTGTAACTCTCTAACACTTTCGGTTCACCTCTTTAAAATTCCAGTGTAGAAAATGGAAAAAAAGCAAAAAAATAAATAAGAAAAGGCAAAAGAAGTGCGGTTTTTCGGTACTTGAAAAACTGCAGTCACTCAGAGGCAGATGCTGCTCCTTAAAAATCGCTTTCCTGTTTCTCAGCTTTGTGTTTGTGTTTAGAATCTCTTTCCTGTAAAGGTCTCCTTCCAGGTCCTGAAGTAAGTTAAGGAAGGTTGATCAGTAGCAGGAGCGTTGTTCGTGTTGGAAGTCTCTTTGCTGTTTTTCTCATAGATTACTCTGTGATACTGTAGCTCAAACCGATTTCTGAGAGTACTAACTTGTTTCATATCAGCTGTTCAAAAGGTTGTTTAAAAGTACATTCTTAAAGACAAATTCTTTAAGTTATGCCTTATTTGCATTTCCACAGTTTACACTGATATTCTGATCACCTTCATGTAGGTGAGTTTGACTAGGTGTGTTGCAGGTTATGCTCAAAATTGAGACATATATTTGCCTCTCAAATCCTGGTCTGGGAAGATGAGACTTAATTTTTGTATTTTATACAGCTACAACTTTTTTTTCCAGAATTCTGGCAGGAGTTAAAAAAGTCTCTGAAGAACAGACAAATAAGCTTGTTCAAGAACTGTAACTTTATTCATAACTGGTTAACTGGAGCAGAGCCTGGTAACACAGTTGTGCAGCTGTGGATTAAAGATGAAGTCTTGTAACTTGGAAAATCAATAGCTATGTGAAATCAAAGCTGAAGACTCATTTGAGAAACCAGAAAGTATCCGTAGCTAAATAAAAAATGTTTTGGCAGGGAGACATAGCAAGTTGGCTTATACTTATCTCATTGATGGTTGTTTTTTGTTGGGGTTTTTTTTGTCCTAGAGAATGACTCATAACTTCTAAACAGTAAAAAATAATAATAAAACAGAATAGATTCAGAAGATCAACCATGCAGAACTGAACTGTTAGAATCATGTTTTTGACAGAAATATCTGTACCTGTAATACGTGTTTATTTTCAGTGTGTTTTTCATCTGTGTCATATGATGAAGGAGCCACTCAGGTTCAGTTTTGCATGGAGGCCATACATCAAGGTTACTGAAGTTGTAAGTCAATGAACTAGCTGGCGTGGAATGTGGTCTCATTCTCACAGTGCCACTTTGAGTTTTCACTATAAAATAAAATCTTATGTTAGATTTTCAATACATGTTCTTCCTTTTTTATGAAAAGTAAGGAAACAGATCCTGCTCTGTCTGCTGACAAGTTATGTGCAGAAAATCTGAATGACACAATTGGAGCTCATAGCTTTCCCAGGGACCAGTAAGGTACAAACAAGAGTAGTGGTGCAGGTTTGCTCAGTGGCCTCACCTTTCAAGGCACATGCTCATTTTTGAAGCATATCTACAGTTCACATAAAGTCAGGGATGGTTTTTAACAGAATGCAGCATTCAAATACATATTTTTTTATTGTAATGAACTTAGATTTATGGATAACTGTGGATATTTGTTGCTTTTTTCTAGTCTAAGTCTGTTGGGGAAATGGGGGTGGAAAGAGGAAGAGGTGAGTTCATAACATTTCCAGTCTATATTCCAGCATTTCCGTTGTCAGCTTTGCAGTGTGCAGATAGAGGGTAAGATAGTCCAGATATTCAAGGGCTGAAGATCTAATATAGTATGTGTAGATCTAAGATAGTATGTTTGGAACTTTCAACAGCCCCTTTCCTTCTATTCTACCCTCAGGACATCCAAATTACACTGACCTCTCTAGAATTTAGTGATAATGTTAAAGCTGTGATTGAAATGATATTATTTCTGGAAATAGGCCACTTTACTTGAAACCATCTCAGCATGTGATGACTCCATATATTTACAGTATGATACTTGAAATCTGTGTCCACCTAGAAGATTCCTTAATCAGGAAAAAAATGGCCTATTTTATATGTATAATAAAGTATTAAATGCATTCGAGTGAGAAGGAATTTTTGATTTGTAACAGCATACTAATGTGCTTTCTATATTTGTTTAACTGATATAGATACCTTACATCCTGAGGCCAAACTTAGCTTCTTCTCTTCTGTAGTTCTGTGAGGTATAATCAAAAAAATCCAGATACTCAAAGTGCTCCTTTTCCTTGCTGTCATATACCTACAGATGATGAAAATGCATTATATTTTTCCATGAAAGGAAAAGAAACTTCAGTTGAATTTCAAATATTCAAGAATAGCTATCCCACAACCTAATTAAAAATCAGACAAAAGGAATATCAGGCAGATTGCAGGGATGTTAATCAGTTGTGGGCATGGTAAAAAATTGTGGGTTGAGACATAGCTTGGCCTACAGATGTGTCATTCTCTCACTTTTGTGACTTCAAATAATTTTTGTGTGCTACTTCATTCAACATGCTCTCTCAACACCTCCCCCATCATTGTTCTTCTTTCTCAGTTAATTTTTGAACTAATGCAGTTCTTACTGTGTGATGTAGTCAGTGAAAGGTGTCATGTCTATGCTCAGGCCACTTCAATTCGGCTGTGATAAAGTATTTTCTCAACTGGTAGGTACCAAAATAACGTCCCTAAGGAAGTAATGTGACAATTAATGACCATTAGCTTCTCTGCTTTAAGGGAAATATTTCTTATGTTAGAGTTTGCCTGGACTATGGGTAGGCTTTTTTTTTTCATAAAATCCTCTGTATTTGAATAAACCATGGAATACAACAGAGAAATTTGTGGACATGGAATTGCATTTAGAGAATCAGGTCACATTTTAGAAAATGTAGGTCTGTCATCAATAAAGTATTTGGAATGCTTTTACCTTTTCTTGTTGGTAACTTAGCTTTCTTAAAAAAAAATAATAAAAATAAGACAAAAACAATGTTATGAAATTGAGATGGGTAATTGCACTTCACCTATAACTCTTTAGATGAAGGAAATCCACTGGAATTTATTTTTTTTAATGGAGTGAGGGAGGAGGATGGAGAAGTCTAATAGAAATATCATGCGTCAAGTTCTGTAAGTGACCATTCTCTGATGCAAATCTCAGTGTTGCTGGATGGAGATGCAGTTCTGATTTGGTGTCTGATGAAACTGTATTCAGCAACTTGGAAAAAGTGCAAAGTACTCCTCTTCCAGAATGTAATTCAAACTTCATGTTTCCTTTGCTTAACTGTTTTCCTGATGAGGAGGCTAAAGGAACGTGCTGGCTAGATGCGATTAGGTAACAAAAGACTTAATGTGGAGAATGTTTGGATGTTCTTGAGGCAACAGCGATTACTATCACCATAATTATTTCACTTTTACCAGCAGTGCCTCAGTGTTATGAGTAATGGATTTTTATTTTAACAGTTAACCAGTGTACTCAGATTTCTCAAACTTTCTCTGTATTTTGGAGCCACTTGCAATCTAGCAAGAGTTGAGAGAATCTGCGTTAATTTGTTTCATTGCTGTCAGTGCTGAGGCATTTATTGAATGTTACTGACTAAAATATCTAAAACTTTCATAAATGTCTGACACTAGTTTGTCATAAAAATATACTTCTGCTTTCAATTTCACGTGCATTCCGTTACAGTAAAGTGATTCATGCCCACATGGCTGTGATAGACTTGTATTTCATAGAGTTAACTGTAAAGGTCTTGCATCAAATTTGAAATACTTTTGTTCCATCTCATAGGCTAATTTTGTATCACAGTAATTCTTCTCAAATTCAACTCCAGGTCCTCAGAAGTTAGATTTCTCTTTGCTTTGACCACGTGGGGTTTTTACCTAATAAGTAATGTCCAGCAATGACTGTGTTATCCTAGTGTTTTTATTTGGATCAGCAGTGCGGTTTTGAAGTTTGCCTCCACTTTTGTTTGCATTGCAGAGTGATCCTAGGGAGGGACTTGGACTGCATTCCTTTTTGACAAAATAGTCTGAAAGATGCACTGCAGGAATGTGCCTAATACACTCCAACCACTAATATGTCTTCTGTCTTTGAGATTAAATCTGAGAGCTAGTTGAAAGCAGAAAGCCCCTGGAACACGTAGAATGTGGAATGCATCCTTAAGGTCAAGTCTTTCACTGTACAGGCCCAATTTTATTGGCTCATGCTATTGCTAATACAGCCGTAGCTACCAAGTATTGCCTAGCAATTCTGTGAAAACAGTTTTGCACACGTGAAACTTCATTGGATGAATGGCAGAAATTATAACTGATCACAGAATCAGTGTGATTATTTGTGAAATCAAGTTTTCATTTATGTATTAGACCTTTTTAATGCGTTCAATAATGCAGAGTACCTATTTACGTGTTGCTATTAATTTTCAATTTATCATGACTCAAATTGGTTCAGAGCTGTCAAACTTGTAGTACATTCATAGTTGTTCCATAGCTTGCACCTGGAAAATTCTGTGTAAGAGTTTTCCAAGATACTCAGTTAAATTCCTCTAATTTTGAGAGACTTAATTTTTTCAGTGGCATTTTCGAGGCCGTTGAAAGTTGCAAGGAGTCACTTAAGTGAAAGCCACTGAAATGAAATGAATCCAAATAGGTGGGTTTTTTTTAGTTTTAAAACAATCAGACATCTAACTGGAGGCTTGTAACTCCACAGTTTGTGGATTATGGATACTAATTAGATGTTGCAACCAATCATTACTGAAATGAGATTGTTTCAGGCAAATCATGAACTGGAATAGGCATTGTGTTGCATGAACTGTTGAACTTACTTGTTATGTGAAATGCCTAAAAGTTTTAGGCATTTCATGACGTAGATGGTGGGTGTTACTGTGAATGGTTACATTGTGAAACCTGATATTATCGGGGTTCCTTTGTGTTATTGTTGTGAACAGTGGAATTTTCAGTAGGAAATAGCATCCTTCTGGT